AAAAAAAAGAAACTTACGTTCTCCGAGCGCCGCCGTAGCTCCTTCTCCAGCCTCGATTTGGTGATCTCCAGTCGCTCTGTGACCTCCGTTCCTTGATCAAAGACCTCCTGGAACTTTTCCTCCAGTGTTTGTGCCTCTTTCGCTGGGTTAGCCGGCACCACGGCCAGCTTGGACGTCAGACGCGGCATTCCAGATGCTGGTAGGGCGGTCTGCATACGACTCACACACTTGTCAAGCATCGCGTCCGTCGCGCGGAGCTGTGGGTTATAACACCAGACACCACGTTCAATTGGCTAGCGGAAGAGTGGGCCTAAACTGAAGCAAGGACGTACCTTATCACTGCATTTCGCCAGCTGCAGCGCACACTTGAGCAGCTCGGTGTGCGCGTCTGTCATTATTTTGTGAATGTCAATTGCGACGAGATCACAAATTTTGTACCCATGTGGTTAATTTAGGGCAAGCGCAAAAATTGTACCCATGTTACAAAATGTACAACTTTATCAGCTTGAATTAATGCAGCGGCTACCACCTCGATGGCCGCCACCCGTGCCGCAGACTGCGCCATGGGGGCGTCCAGCGTTTGTGCCTCCACTCCCGCCACCTCCGCGAGGATTTCCAGCCCCTCCACGATTCTATCCGCAGCCTCCACGCCCTGCAACAGGCTTCTACCCCCGCGTGCCTCCCCGCCCGCTGGTTGACCCAGAGCAACTGTGGCTGGACTCGTTTAGAAGGACACATTGCAGCTCAGAAGAGAAGTTTGAACGTGCTACTAAGGTAAATGCTGAACCTCCGTTGAGGCTGCTACGACGTCGCGTTGTGCAGGCTCAGAAGCTGACGGAGCAGTTGAAAAAAGAGGTAATGGAGTTAGCTGCAGTCGAGAAGCGACTTGAGGATGCAGCGTCAAGTGTGGAAGCCCCGAGGCTACGCGTACAACGAGAGCGGAAAATAGCCGCGTGTGAAGCGTTGAAGACACAACTGGAAGCGATGCAAGCGACATCGGGACTCTTCTCAGTGAAACAGCTTGCTGAAATTCGAGCGTTTGCTGCGAGAGTCGACAAGAAGAAGGTGCGCTGAAATTCGACTTATCATATTTTAGGCTGTACTTAGTGAAGCTGTTAAATTGGTCAGGCTTATCGAAAGCGAGCCAAGCTGCGGCGTCGTGCTGAAATGAGCATACGTCGAGCTGCAAACGCAAAAATACCAGAGAAAGTGGAATCAATTGATACCGACAAAACGGCTAGTGAAGAAGAGTCAAAAACCGAAAGGCAAGATGCAGAAGAGGCTGCAGATGCAGTTTATCAAGAGGGGAAGACCGTAATTCCGTCATTAACGCCCGATAGCGGATGTCCGGAGCAGTCTCTCGATCCAGAGACGTTGACGCTTGACTCTTTGATCCAAGTCCGACGAGCTTGGGACTCGTACATTGTTTTCCCACAGACACCAGGAGCTTCTACCATCCCTCCAGTACGCAAATGCATTCAACTGACCTTCCTGACACAT